GTGCAAATGACCAGCACGTAACACGGTTTGTAGGATTAACAGCGCTTTCGTCTGTTGCACTCCAATAGGCAGCAAACCACGGAATCTAAACCCTAAGCCCTAAACCCTAAACCCTAAACCCTAGACCCTTTTACCCTAAACCCTAAACCCTAAACCCTAAACTCAGCTCGTCAGGATGCTCTCATCAGTGCTGTGGGGCATTCTCCATGAGTGCATTCTCCGCTCCCAAAATGTCACTGGGAACGGAAATATTGTCCGCCGGGCCATGAATACGCAGTATACAACCTACTTACGAAGTCCCCTGATCTCCCAAGCAGGTTTGAGACTTTCAAGATCAGTGCTTTAGCATCCTCTTGCTTTGTGATTCTGTCTCCAACCCCAGACCGTAGAGGGTGGAATTCGGACTGACCCAAAGACAGAGAAGTAGGCCCCTAAACCCTAAACCCTAAACCCTAACCCCTAAACCCAACTTCGGAGCTAGCTGAGCTTGAAAGACTCGAAACCCTGGGCCCGACACCGCACAACCCCGACACCCTAAACGCCGAGACCACGGCTTAAGAGGGTTTAGGGTTTAGGGTTTAGGGTTTAGGTTGCTGAAGTTGCAAGCTGAATTCGTACACTCCTCGACTTACCAATAGCCTCGACCACAAACTCTCAAGCCAACAAGCGTTTGGGTTGTCCGGCTTAGGCTTGTTCAATGAACGGGGTAAAAAAAGACCGCCATCACAGCAAACCAGCCTATCGAGCTTCACATGAATCTTCTGCAGGCTAGGGAAAGTCTCGGCCCCTTGATAGAATGGGGTTTGGGAATAGATTCAAAAACCAATGCAACTAGATAGGACCAGAAGAAGGAGATACTGTTAGTGGTTATTCAGACTTCCAATAACCCAAACCCTAAATCCCCAACCCTGTAAGCGGCAACACCCGAGGCGAACCACCTTTCAGAGCTTTATGGTTTAGACGGACGGTTGGGTTCGGTTTAGGGTGTTAGGGTCTATTCAGAGTTTTGGGAGTGGAGTGTAGATCTTCCCCTGTCTACTACCATATCCAAAGAAGAAGCCGGGGCTTAGGAGTTTAAAAATCGGGTTTAGGGGCTAGGGATTAGAGTTAGGGGTTAAGGTTTTGAGCTAAACCCTAAACCCTAAACCCTAAACCCTAAACCCTAAACCCTAAACCGTGGGGACCTTAAGCCCTCCGCAAACTCCTTGACCTCTGACTCTGAGCCTATTTATCTCTCGGAGACCAGCCAGAGCGCAACATCTGCGATTGGGGTTTAGGGTTTAGGGTTTAGGGTTTAGGGTTTAGGGTTTAGGGTTTAGGGGCACCAAGATGTGGGTAGCTCTCTAAATTAGGGTCCCTTCTAGGGCCCTTTTTATAAGGGTGCCGTACTATCTTGGGGACCTAAAGCGGGACCCTAATTTAGAGAACTACCCACGTACTGAAGACTTGTACCCACATTAGCAACACATATTCCAACAGTACTGCGCCGGATAAGAAAACACATCAAGGTAGCCAACATTTAAGTTTTGGAGAAGCACATCGCGTTGGTAGCCCAATGGATTAATCTAATCGCGAAATTCGTCCATAAGGGTCCAGATATCCAAATGAGAGGGTTTTGGGGACCGAACACTGTACAGAATGGTCGTTGTACGTGAACACCCAATATTCAGGCATTTGGACTCGTCAGGGAGTAACCGAAACCCTTAAACCGAAACTATGCCCTACAGCCGAAGGTTTAACGAGACTCTAAATCGTCGTGAGCCTCTAAACCCTCCACCTGTGGAAAGACCCTCGGGGAATTGGAGCCCAGTCCCAATATACCAAGCCCCTGATCCACTACAGTGATTAAGCCGCTCCTCAAATACTCCAGCTCTCAAAAAACTGTTCCTGATCAGCCCCTCAGTAGTATCAGAAGGGAAACCCAAAGCAAAAAGAGGACAACATGCTTCCACTCTGGAACATAGTAAACTAGAAACCTAACCCATAAAACACTCATAAGCAACTCTTATACGATCCTTCAAGAATCCGTGAGCCTGCTTTAAGACCCAAGCTTTGAGCGACTGAACCACAAAAAGACCCTTTGAATCACTCCGAGCCCCTTTTGACGGCCAGAAAAACACCCGGAACCCCAACCCTAAACCCTAAATTCTCCAACCCTAACCCCTAAAGAAACCTCAACCCCCTAAACCGCCACCCCCTAAATCCCTCTAAACCCGAAGCTCTAAAAACCCTAAACCCCGTTCTCCAGGTCTCGCGGCAGATGGGCTCGGGCGCTTTCTGTGTTGCACCGGCCGAGCTCTTCTCCACCTTCGGCTTTAAGGCGTGTTGGGCTTGCCTGAACCGTGCGGTTTAGGGTTCCAGGTCTAGGGCTTACTTGGAGGATCATGGGACTTAGTAAGTAAGGTTAGGGGTTATAAGTACTTAGAAGTCTAGTTACCTCATTTCCAAGCCTAGTTACTAAATCCCATGAACCTCTAAGTAGGGTTTACAGGGTTTCGGGTTTAGGGATTTAGGACTTCCTAAACCCTGAACCCCAATATAAGTAACCTGAGGCCTTCATAGGGTTCCGTGTTGTGTTTTCCTTCTATACATAAGTCCTTGTGGATTGGTAGGTTTTCGAGGGTCGAGGCAAGGTTTATGGAAAGTTCATGGCTTATAGTCCAGACTGTCAATATAGACTACCATCGTGGAATTAGGTCCCAAAACCCTACACCCTAAACCCTAATTCTAGAATAGTAGTATATATGGACCCTCTTGGTAAGGGTTCCTTTCAGGAGTTTATGAGGGCTGTTTAAGGGAATCGCTAGGGTACTACACGGGTTTAGAGTACCGCGGCCTTAATGATTTCGACAGGATGATTGGGATGTATGGGGTATATTGTGCAACCAATATATATATATATACACACACATATCTGCAATATGTGTATATATATATATATATATGTGTATACATATATATATATATATTTAGAAACAAAAGCATGTATGTATGAATGTCTACATATATGTATATATACATATACATACACATACACTTAATAAGACACTCATATGAAGAACACCCTGAGATGCGGTATTGCATGGTAGTTATTCAGGCTTCGAATATACTAGACCCAAACCCTGGGCCCTAATCCCCAAAATCCTAAACGTTGGATGTGTTTTGTCGCCTCTTTTCCACCTGCCTGGGTTAGTTAGGTCGAACGCCACTGTTGGCTGAGGTTGGAGTTTAGGGTTTGGGGTTTACAGCTCAAAAACTGGTCTCTATAGTCCTGAGCCCTGAACCCTCAAACCCTAAACCCTAAACCCTCAACTGTGGGTTGCCCATCAGAGTTTCCTGTTGGTCTTGTTTTGCTATGGGGCTCTGACGTGTGAAAGGCGAGATACCCCCATCAAGCCCTTGCAGGAAGCGTTCTTGAACCCTTTTATCCCTAAACCCTGTATAGTATTGAAAAACGATTGACCCCTATGAAACTCTAACTGGAAAACCCCCGTTTGAAAAGCCCTCTAAGAAATCCTTTAGAACCCTGTAGAGGAGGGCTTCTATGAAAACCCTCATTGACAAACCCTCAAAAAAGCCTTTAAATCCTTTAAACACTAAACTCCAAACCCCGGAACCCCAAACCCTAAAACTAGAAACCCTAAACCTTAAGCCCAAGGACCTAAACCCTAAAACTATGACCCTAAACCCTGCATCCTAAACCCTCCATAAGGGAACCCTAAACCCTAAGCCCTAAACCCCAAAACTATAAACCCTAAACCCTAAATCCTAAACCCTCTAACAGGTAACCCTAAACCCGAAGCCCTGAACCCTAAAACTATAAACCCTAAACCCTAAACCCTAAACCCTAAATCCTAAACCCTCTAAACCGAAGCCCTGGACCCTAAAACTACAAACCCTAAACCCGAAATCCGAAACCCTCTAAAAGGGAACCCTACAACCTAATCCCGAAACCCTAAACCCTCTGAACCGAAGCCCTGAACCCTAAACCCGAAATCCTAAACCCTCTACAAGGGAACTCTAAACCCTAAACCCTAAACCCCTTTAAAGGGGAGGGCTAGGACCCGAGGCGTCGGCCCAGCCCAGGTGCTGACCGCAGACCCCGCAGAAGCGCGAGGAGCCCCGGATGGCCATAAGGTTGCCTGTAAACTTCTCAGATGGGTAGGTTTAGGGCCTGTTTAGGGTTTAGGGTTTAGGGTTTAGGGTTACTTAAGTTTACAGATTTTGAGGTTGTAGGGCCAGTGTAGGGTTTAAACTTTTCAGATGTTAAGGCTTTGAGTTGTTTAAGTGTTTGAGGGTTTAGGGCTAAGGGTTTAGGGAGCCCTAAACCCTGAAGACCTACTTGGAGGATCATGGGACTTAGTAAGTAGGGTTATAACTAAGGTAACTATACTTATAACCCCAATTAGGGGAC